CACTTCTTTGAGTTTTTCTCATGCCCAGTGGATTTGCCTAAGAACCAATGTGGGAGTGGGAAAAGAGAGTGGAGAGCTCACAGGTGGTGATTCTGCGACATGTTTTTGTGCTCCTGGGACCTACCAAAATATCTGTGTTAGCTTGTATTGCACAATGTTTCACAGTTCATGAAGCTCAGTGGTAAAGGCTCTTTCACTTCATTCAAGTTTGAGTATTATTTTGCATTCTTGAGAGGCTTGTTTAGTGAATTCAAATGGCATTCGCAAGTGGGAAGGACAGTTATTTTCCATTTTTCAATAATGAGATGGATCAGGAAGAGAAGTGTGGAGCCAAGCACCCTTTGTTTGCCCAGAGTGTCGGTCACGTGCTAGATGCCGGGCCAGTTGCTTCACACAGGATTCATTGTTTAATACTTTCAACAACGCTGCATGGTGTGTCTTAGTCTGTTTGGGCTGCTGTAACAAGAGTGTCAATGACTGAGTGGACTTATAAACGTCAAACATTTATTGCTCATAGTCCTGGAGGCTGGAAAGTCCAAGCCCCAAACACCTGCAGATTTGGTGTCTTGTGAGGGCCTGTCCCTCACAGGTGTCACCTTCCTGTGACATCCTCATGTGGTGCAAGGGGCAGACAAGCTCTCTTGCGTCTCTTTGATAAGGGCACCCGTCACATTCATTAGGGCTCCACCCCCATGACCTAATCACCACCCAAAACGCACCACCTCTCAAAGCCATCCACTTGGGGTTAGGATTTTAGCTCATGAATTTTGGAGGACACGGTCAGGCCATAGAATGGTGAGTGTTGTTATTTTCCATGTCATAGGTGAGGAGACTGAGGTTGCATAGTGTTTACACAATACATCAAAGCTGAAAAGCTGGTTTCTAGTATAGCTGGGAATTAACTTTTCTAGCTACATGCATGGTTTTATTTAAATGATACTGGGCTAAGCTTTGTGCAGTGACAGTACCGGAGCTGATTAGTGCTAGTTGAAACGTTTCCCCATACCTTGCCGTGATGAGTTGCAATATAGCCGGCATTGGCGATTTTTGATGCCTCCTATGGGGACTGAATAATAAAAAATAAATAAATAAATGAATAAATAAATACAAGATACTGGACTATAAATTGGTTAGTTTATTTAGAAAAAATATCTTCTCCCAGGATACTCAAAATAATCTACCTGACCTGAAAGAGAAAACCATCTTTCTAAACACACTGAGGTTGATCATAGCACACAGTGATTATCCTGTTTTTCTAATATCTAAATTAAGAATTCTAGAGTCCTCGGTTCCCTTCTCCTTGGCAGCAGGCTCCGTGACAAAACTGCAGGGAGAGAGGGTTTGGTGAGCGTGGCCCCTCTCTGCTCCATTTAGCTTCAGGCAGGGCAACTCGGAGGCTGGGATCCCTGGAAAGCCCACCCACTCACATGTCTGGTGCTGATGGGGGTGTGGGTTCTGCCCTCGCCTGGGGCTGTCAGCTGGGACACCTAGACATGGCCCGGCCATGTGGCCTGCACTTCCTTACAATATCCAAGCTGAGTTCCAAGGGTGGGGTCCCCAAATAGAGAAAGCCGGGCAGAGCTGTCCAACCTTTTATGTCTGACCTCAGCAGTCACATTGTATTAGAAGCGAGTCATTCAAGTGAGCCCATACTCACGGGAAAGTTAATTAGACTCTATTTTTTACAGAAGGAATTTTTTTAAGTCAAAAACGTATGGATATGCATTAAAATCACCACAGTACTCCTGTAACCTAAAACAGAGGTGCCCACCCTGTACCGCCAGGGTCCTCCTCACTTCCACTCTAATGGTCTTCCCTGTTTCTGACTTAGTACCTGTCTTCATTCCTAGACTGTTAGCTGCATGAGTAAGTATCCATTTTGCTCAATAACATATTATCAGTATGTAGCACCCTGTCTAAATATTTATTGCATGGATACATATATTTTGCACTTAATTGTTTACTAGATTTTCTCTACCTACTATTGCCTGAGGACAGGAACTGTGTCTTATACAACTTCATATCCCTGGCACACGGCATGGTGGTATCCAACACAAAGCAGGAGCAATAGTTACTTATGAAATAAATTGATAAGTACAGCATTGATGACTAGATTTATTAGCTGGGATTATATGTGTATTTGTGTGTGTAGGTGTTTTGGAAGACTTTTACTTTGTCAGATAACTTCAGCGAGGATAGAAATTTATTTTTCTTACAACTCTACATTTAGGGCTTGGAAAACACTTAAAATGAAGTAAGTGCCCAAATAGATTCATTACATTCACTAATTCAATGAATGAATGAATGAGTTTTGAGTTTGCTGTTTTGTAGGGAAATTCTCAAGTGACTGCAACTTATATTTAATAAATTCTCTTGCAATTCGATATTTGCTTAATGACTACTCTTTTCAAATATTAACTGTAACCTAGTGATCAGACTGGAACAGTGATTCTGAAGAGGGATTGATTTTGCCCCTATAAGACATTTGAAAAGTCTGGAGACATTTCTGGTTGTCTTGGCTGGGAGGCTGCTCTCAGCATCCAATGGGTAGAGACCAGGGATGCCACTAAACACCCTGCAAAATATAGCCTTCTCCCCAAAAAAGAAAGAATTATCTGGTCACAAATTTCAATAGTGCAGATATTGAGAAGTACTGGACAAGAATTCAAGAAGCAAAGACGAAGAAGACATTGCCTTTGTCCCTAAGAGACCCACAAGGGAAACGGGTGGGTAAATGAATTCTTATTTCAGCGAGACTTTATTGCAGTAATAGAAATGCATATGACAAACAGAGGTGGACTAGGGTGGGAAACCTTTAACTGACCTGGACTGATTAAAAAAAAAAATTCCACCCAAAGGGGAACAGCTTGTGCAAAGTCATATTTAAAAAAATCACACACACATAGACTAAGATGCATATATTTAATAATACTGAGAACTAGGAAGAGCTGATTAAAAGGAAATTGAGATCCTTTTTATCGGGGAACGAACACTGGAAGGGTGTTCGGCGCTGTGGCCAGCATATCAAACATGTCAATGTAAATTTTCAACTTAATGAATGACAGATTAGTGGAGAAAAGGAGGCTTTTTAATCTTGAAGCACAGAACCTCTAAGGATGGCTGCGGATCCCAACTTTTCCTGCGAGGTAAGGGCACTGCTGTCATCTACCTTTTCCCCTTCCCTTCCCCTCATCAGGTATCACCTCTGAGCTCCAAACGCACCAGGTCTCTGTCTGTGCTGGGACCCTGGAGCCGGACCCCGAATCTGTCTCCTTTGCCAGCTGGTGCTACATGGGGCTCTGTCCCTAGAGACCGGTGGACTGACCCCAAACAGGGCTGGGGGAAGAGAGACTTTCCTTCCAGGTCCCCCTCCTCGGTTGTTGCTGTTGCTATTATTATTATTATCATTCAGTGTGAGAGTTATATAACTAATATATCAATAAATACTTTGAAGGTCCCTACTTTATAACTTTTTATGAGGTCCATGTACAGGTGCAAAGTCGTAGGTCACTGTTACACTCGGGAAGAGAGATTGGAGAGAAAGGGACTAATCTCCTTCCTCCTGTAAAGCTTATTGGTTTCTCCTTTCTGTGTGCAATCCTCCCTTCATTTGAGTAATTCTTGCAATGAACGACTTTGAGTGAGACTTCCTGGGTACCTGTCCTGAACTCACCACTAACCCTAACTTTGGAGAAAAAAAGACACAACTTCTATGCACTGGTGTCACCTTGCTTTATAAGTGAGAATATTTTAAATGGTTGCTGAATGGAAAAACACTTGACACAGTGCGCTGGAACATGCAGAGGGTATAGAAAAAATGCTTCTCAGAGTGCCTGACACACAGTCAGAGCTCAAAAACGTGTGGGGCTTGTTTGCTTGTAAGGCGAGACGCCCTCCTAAACACCGAGATGCCACCTTGCCTTCCTGGCATCAGCAGGACGCAGACTACGACCCTGACCTGTATCCAACAGGAGATCCGCATGTCCAGTTCGGGTGAAATAGCAAGTTAGTAAGACAGCTGTGGTGGAATTAGGACCATTTGCATAGAGTAATAATAATCGTTAACATTTATGGTGCAAAACCGTGGGTGAGACACTGTTCTAGGCGGATTTGCATGGATTAACTCGTTTAATTCTTACCCGTAACCCTATCGGCTCATGCGGCAGGTGGTGGTCCCCCATGTTGTGATCAAGGGTGCTGAAGCCTCTCTTATTTGATAATTGGTCCAAGTTAAAGAGCTAAGAAGGGACAGGGTGAGGATTAGAAGCTTGTGAGTCTAAGCACTATGTTACACTGGCTCTGAAAGCCGCAGGTAGGTATGTTTTGGCTTACGAGAAGAAAAAAATAACATTAGAATGGTCGTGCTGGTAAGGACTTTGGCAATCACTGAGCCTAACTGCTCGCGAGCCTGGGGAGATGCTGACTCCCAGGAAACCATGCAGCTTGGACAAATGTGTGCGGTTAGGTCCGACTCTTCCTGGGACTGGAACCCAGGTCTCCCTGGTCTCAGTTCTGCGCTCCTCTTCAGTGTCTCTTGCCTTCTCCCAACACCATAATGCGTATTCTAATGCACACTACTAATTTCTTAGGTAGTTACAATTTTTTTTTTTTTAATATCCATGTTTCCCTAGTCAGTCACATCCTTCCCATACAGAGTTTTAAAGTCATATAAATTAAATGAGAACGACATTTATACAGGAATGAGGGAATGCTGGCCGGATTTTTTTTTTTATTTTAATAAAATGACTTCGATCGATAGGTATTTATAGAAAAACACTAGAATCTTCATAAATATCTTCATGCTTAAAAATATTTTAATTGGCTTCACCAATAAACGAGAGGGACGTAACCAGAAGCCTTGGGATTAATAATCACCTTGCTCAAAATGATGCATCCTTGGCTGGCACGTTGTGCGGGAGTTGGGTTGTGAGCCCCAGAGTGGCCGGAACCTTGGCGGTGAGTGGCCTGGGGCGTCGGAACAGTGGCATCGCGGGAAGATGCTTGTGAGAGAGACCCAAGGGTGAGCTCCGAGCTTGGGGAAGAGACAGTTAAAGCGTCCCCACGCGAGCGAGTCATATCACACAGCGCCGGTGCCAGGTCAGCAGTCTGGCTGGAGCTGGACGCGGCTGGTGGCGCCAGGCGGTGCCAAGCGTCCCCCGGCAGCCTCACAGAGGGTTCCCAAAGCCGGATTTCATTTTGCAGTTTCCCAGGGATGCTCTTGACAACTGCCTCACCAGGGGAAATTACGAGCTGCGCTGGTGCCTCCCAGACAAGCCTGGTTGGAAGCACAGGACTCTCGCGGCCGGGAGCCCGCCGATGCCTGACAAAGGAAGCCCTGCTCAGGTGAGACGAGGCTTGGGGACTCAGGTGCTGGCTGTCTGTCTGGTCCGGGGCTCTGCTGTGTGCTCGAGGAAAAGTCAGTCTGCAGGGGCTGGCCTCTGCAGTCAGACAGATTGATTGCCGAGTGTCTCTCGTCATTTCCCTAATTCTTTTTAAAAAGCGAAAGCCGGGCTGATCACAAGCCCCCCTCTCAAATCCGGGAGACGGTTTCAGAGAGGATGCAGCTGCCAAGGAATTCCAGCTCCAGCCGCGGAATTCCAGAGACGCTGGACTCTCGGATGTGCCGGCTGCAGCTCCAGGTCTGATTAGCATGTCCCCAGGGAGGATTCCTACTGGGATGGTGGCAGTGGAATATTCAAGGGGGTCTGGAGCACCAAATCCTAGTTGAGAACCTGCCTTAGGGGTGCCAGGAAGCCTTGCAGTGTTGAGGATGATCACACACCCTCTCGGGGGTTCCCTCCTTCGCTGGAAAAGATGATGACGCACACATTTGTGGGGGCAGGTTCGACCTCCTTAGGGGGTAGAATTGTGTCCTTTTTACCTCTGTTTGCTGAGTCTTTGGCACAGCCCCTGGTGTCTGCCTATCAGCTCACGGTGCTTTGGGACAGAAAAGGTGACAAGGAAATACAGGTGTACACTTGGAAAGAGCACGAGACCCAGGTTATGATCTCGGTGAAGTCGGCCGCCCATCCAGGGCCTCTACAAAGTGAGCAGAGTGACACTTTGTGTCGTGTGATGACATCAGTCAGATGGGACCGAGTCTCAGGCTGCTGGTGGGCACCTCACTGGGTGCCCTGGTGGCCTTGGCTTTGGGTCATGTGGGACCTCAGGACAGGTCTGAGGACAGGGAGGAGACAGGGAGTAAGCTCGGGCTTTGGGACGAGGGCATATGCCGAGCAGTCTGGCTGAAGCCCTGTGACAATGGCCACCCGGGTACGGTGGCTCTGGGCCATGCCCACGTTGGGCCAGACTCCGAGATGACAGACCCACGGGGTAGGGTGTGGCGTTAGGGGGAAAGTGTCTGTATACCGCAGATTCTCTCAGGTTGCATCCCCCTGGCCTCTGTGCAAGGCAAATAGGTCCCTGCTGCTGTCCTGGTTAGCCCCCACCTGGCCTGCCTCACTGCTGGGGAGTCTGTTCCGCTTTCTCCTGTCACCTAGTCAGCTGATATTGGAGTCTGTGACCTCCCTTCTCTTGTCCCTGTGTTCCTTCCGCCTTCTTTCCAGAGAACTCCCACCCCCACCTGATGTCTTTGCCTGTGTTTTCCTGCTTGCTTTCTGATGTTTCTCTTCCTCACGCCTCTGCTTCAGCTGGAACCCCCCTCCGGGGACCTGCGTGACCTGTATCCATTGTTTAGACTGAGCTTAGTGGCAGTCGCCTCCACGAAGCCTCCTCCAGCTCGCTTAGGTGTTTCTCTTGCTGCCCGGAGGCACGCCGGCGTTGTTCCTGTGACGCAGCGCTGTACGGCAGTCACCCGCTCCCCGCCCCCCTAGTCTGTGCTCCTTGAGGGCGGGGACTGTGGCGTCCACACGCAGATACACGCGGCGCCCAGCACGAGGCCTGGCATGCAGGGGGGAGAACGGTGTCCAACTGCAGGGAGAAAGGAGGAGCATGCACCCCTGGGAAAAGGTCAGGAGACTGCCGCCACGAGTTCCACGCTCCTCCAAAGGACTATAACCTTGTGGACAGCCACCACTGGGAGACCAAAGCAGAAACCCAGAGCCCAGACACCAGGACCTGGGCCTCAGAGGGGCCACAGTGCCGGGACCGAGTGACACTGGTGCTCTGGGGCCAGAGCAGAGAGAGCAAGTCGGGCAGGGTGAAGGCACCCCGATCCTGACGCCCTCCTGAGGCCAGCAGAGCTAAGATGGGGTTCCAGGGCCTCTGATTCTGGTTCATACCTCGTTTACCCAAGTTAATTAATTTGCCTAATGCATTTATGTTCCTATATCTGCCAGAGATGCAAAGGGATTCAATTTCTTTTTTAATCTTTTTGGTGGCTTTAAAAACCAGTGGATGAAAAAGAGAGATGTGTTTAGGCTGAGCAAAACGTTCCTCCTGAGTGGCACTGCCGGAGCCACCAGGGCAAGGGTCCTCAGGGGCGTGCCCGGCTGCAGGTAGAAGGCTGGTTGGTTGCTAAAGAGGGGAGCAGCAAATATGAATTTTTCTAAACTGTATAAAGGTGGAGCATACCGTTTCCCTGAAAATAAGACAGGGTCTTCTATGTATTTTTCCTCAAGAAGACGCCCTAGGACTTATTTTCAGGGGGTGTGTTATTTTCCCCTCAAAGCCTCAGCTTGCAGCACACACAGGATGGCCGGGACCTGACAGGGGGAGCCGACCTTGTTGGTGGGGCTGCCCGCACCTTTCCGGTCACCTCTGGGATAGTAGCTGTCACGACGGGGCAGATGAGAAGGGCTGCTGGTCTTCTTTCCCGCTCCTCGACGACATGCATGGGTTGTGCAGATGTGCTGCATAGCCACGCCCATCACTAGGGCTTATTTTCAGGGTAGGGCTGCTATTTCGCAAATGCTTAGAAATCCTGCTAGGGCTTATATTATGGGTAGGGCTTATTTTCAGGGAAACACGGTATTTCAGCAGTGGGCATTCTTCTCTGTAGGGCCACAGTGGGGGGAGGCAGCGGTGTTGCGTGTGTCCACGTTTCCCCACTGCACAAGTCCTACCGCTCACCTGCACTGTCCCAAAGGGGCCCCGGTACTGGGACAAGCAAGAAACACACAGGCTGTGCTCTCAGGGGACTCATCCGCCAGGCAGGGGAGATTGGTCAGAAAATTAGACCAAGAAATAAACAAAAATGAACGATGCCAGACAAATGAGCATTCACAGAGAACTCCGATGAGGCCTGGAGGGAGTAAGATTTGGACGAAGTAGTCAGGAGAGGCTACTCAGGGGGTGTGCATTGAGCCGAACCGTGAATGAGAAGCGCCAGGATGAGAAAAGGCCAAGCCGAGGGAGGAGTTGGTGCAAAGGGCCTGAGGTCTCGGTGCAGGGCTTGTTTGAGGAGCAGAAGGCTGGCGGGCCAGCACGGCCCAGGCTGAGTCAGGTCAGGGAGGGGCAGGGCCGGGTGAGGGCCTCGTGTCTTAGGAGAAGTGTTCTGGGAAGCCCCTGGACAGTGACAGCCTCCCGTTCCTGTTTCGGAGAGATCACACTGGTTTCTCGCAGGGCGACACGGGCCAGGGAGGCGGCGCGGAGGGTGGTGAGGAGGGTGCCGCGCAGGTGTGGGCAGGACGCGCAGGGCCTGGTGGGCGTGGAGAATCGGCGGGGACGGGCCACATCGCTGAGGGATAGGATGAGGCTAGTGAGCAGCGGGGTACCGGGACGGGGGCGACGCATTTAGGGAAAGGGAGAACGGAAGGTAATTCTTACAATTTTTAACATATGTGAACATTTACCACCTCGTCTGGTTTTCTCAGTTTTTTTATTTTATTCGCGAGTGGGAGACATTCGGATTCAGACGATCCAGCACTCTCGTAGGTTGCCAGGTACGGTGAGAGCGCGTCCTTACGCACCTCGCACCTGCCATCGTCACAGTGAGGGAGAGAGGACATTCGTCACTGTACAGGTGGGGCCCACAGCTGCCTAGGGCAGGGTGGGATGGGAAGCCACCGTCCTGCTTCCATGGTCCCTGCTGCCCCACACTGCAGCCGCCTCCACTCTCCGTGGCTCGCGAGGGGCAGTGGAGGAAGGAGCTTCTGCTGCCAGGACGATTACCTGCACGGGCAGGCCCTCCCCTGCAGGATCTGTCATTGTGGAGCTCCTGCCCCTCCCGGGCCCCCTTCTCTGATCTGTCTCAGGCTGCAGGCTGCTGTCCTCTCCTCTGGCCCCTCAGACCCAGGTTCCCCTGACTCTTCCCACCCCGACAGTTAGTGACCCGCAAACAAGCCCCCAGACGCACAGCTTCCAGGCAGGAAGGGAGATGAGGCCACTCCTATAGATGAGAGCTCACCTGAGCCGGTGTGTCAGTGAGAAGTCATCTTCAACTGCCAACGCCCAGAGCCGCACCGAGCCTTCCCGGGAGGATGAAGCTTGCTGGTGACCAGGGCCTCTGAGGGCTAGGGGTGCCCGGGTGGACTCCACAACCTGGCGCCCAGGTGAGGTGGGTGGGCTTTAGCCTGCGTTGCCACCCCCACCCTCCTGCCCCAGGCGGGCGGCCCTGCCTCTGCCCAGGTGCTCTCTGCTCCCCTCCCCAGGGTCACTCCAGGCTGTGAGGAAGTCTCCTCTTCCTCTGAACTCCCCGGTGCTCATTATTTATCCCTGCACTGGGCACGAGCGTACCATTGGAGGTTCCAGAACACTTTCTATGTGCGAGACAATCATCTGGGTGGACCACAAGAAAGAAACGCACAGTTCCTCATTCGCATAACAAGCTGCTTTGTGTCGTGCTTTGGGCTGCTGATTGAGGGTTAAAGATGAAGCCGGTGCTGTTCCTGGCTTTTTCAGAGTGTGGAGATCCACCGTGGACCGCATCTCTTTGTAAATCTTTCAAGAGAAGAAATCCAAAGAGACGATGTGAATGCTGTGGAATAGCCCGTCATAAAATCAGAAAGTGGTTACAACTAGAATAGACAAAGGCAATATGGATTTCCACAGCAAAACCAAAATCAGGACAAGCAGACAAAATATATATATTTTTTCATAATTAAAAAAGAAAATGAGCCCATGTGAAGAGTTGTTGCCATGACTCCTAAATCGAAGATGCTTTTGGATGAACTCATAATAATTTGGCTAATATTAATACAAAGTGAAAGAAAATTTCCCTTGCCAGGAATCCATTTGTCATGCAATTAGCATCAAGATTGTTAAATGAATTGAGCAATGAATGTTTTGCTTTAAAATGTCTTCTTTAAAATGACAGTTTTTAAACATTATATATTTACAGTGGAGTCTTCACTTTTAAAGTGATTTTTGTTTGGTGTTTATTTTGTATTAACGTACTTTATTTTTAATACGTTTTTATTAGCAAAGATGCATATTAGGTAGAG